CAGTCATATGTAATTTGTATCTCACAATCACAACTCCTTGTGATTAACAAATCACCAAGACTTGAATCTACGGATTCTATTATTTAATTTATTAGAATATTAATTCAATTAAATAATATATATAGCCATACATATGCATTGATTATATATATATTCAAAGTGCTTATTTCCAAAGTAGATTGAACCTAGGGCATAACACTTACAGTTTTAACATTGTTTAGTGTTGCAAATATTCAAAGGGAATGCAAGTAAAATCAGAAGTGTGTTTCAAATTACTTGCCTTGAGATCATTATATAGAAGAGATTAAGCACATGTTTGGTTTAGATAAAATGAGATTTTCATTAGATTTTGATAAAAGGTGATAGAATGTGTAATTGTAAAAAGTTGTAAGTCCCATAAAATGTATTATTAAAAATTGTTAATTTTGATTTAAATTTAATTCAAGATTTTAAATGAACCAAACAGGAGATATAAAGTAGTAGGATAAAATCATTTTCTTGATTTTAGGATTAGATGATTAAAATCGCTTGTCCAATTTAGCCCATGTTTGGTGGCCATTTTTTGGAAAAAAATTATTTTGAATTGTGAATTTTGGAGAATGTGTAGTTGAAAAGTATGAAAGTTTTAGGTTTATGTGCACAATATTTTATTGTATGAATGTATAGTTTAAAATGAGTATGTAAAAAATAGATTTGAAAGATTGAGAGACAAACATCGGCTTATTACTTTTGTTAATTCAAAAGATTCCATTTCTATCCTCTAACCACCATTAAAATCCAAAATCGATCCTTTCTCAAGTTTTGAAACTGTGAAGTTTTTTCCCAAACTTTCATTAAGTTGATTTTCACTTCTAAAACTTGCGATTTTCTTTCATACTTCTTATTAGTTCAATGCAATTTGGTTACTCTTTAATTGCTCATTGAACCCTCTCCTATTAGGCTAAAACTAGAAATGACAATGAGACAGGTATGGACGGGTCGACCGTTCCCCACCCTGTCCCGTCGAGGGTAATGACCCTCGCCCCATTTATTCGGTTAGGCAGATAATCCCTGCATCGAATGGGGCGGGGCTCCATAGTTATTGGGTTGAACAGATTTTTTTGCCATCCCTAGCTAAAACCCTACTTTTTTGCTCCAAAATCCTTCAAGTCCAAGTTTTATATGCAATTATTATATTTAATCTAAATTAGGTAAAAATTTGTTCACTTGGCAACTATTTTAGGAATCCGCTGAATTTGCAATTATTTATCAAGCTCAATTGCAAGTAACATTTTTACACTGAAAGATTCAAACATAACATAGTTGAACCACCTCATTTTAAAAAGAAACAATTAAAAAGAATTTTTTTTTTTTTTATTTACATTGACTCTCAACAGACCACTCACATACAAGCAGGATTTATATTTCTATAGAATGCATATAACATGCAAAATATATAGATATTTGAATGAAAATTGATTCGGAAACATTCTATTTCCATATCAAATTGAGGAACTAATTAAAAAATTTAAAATAGTTCTTTTAAATGTTTAAACTGTTGGAGTGATTATAATCTTATATATTCATAAATAAGTGTCATTATCACATTCAATTCTTATATTTTAAGTGGTCCTGGCTCAGAGATACACTTCTATTTTTATTAATCTCAATGTTGTGGATAGAAAGGAAAGTGCGTAATAATTGACAGGAAAAGGAAATTTTTCATTTTTACAAAATTATTTTTTACACTTGTATATTTTTTCTTTTGCCACAAGTACCCTAAATTTTTCTAATTTACGTTCAATTGATATAGAAAAAAAAATATTAATTCACATTCTATAACCTATTATTCAAGGCATAATGTTTAATGATTTGGGTATTGGAGGGTCCTAATTTATGTTCATTTGTTTTTAATATCATTGCGGAGCTTTTATTTTTGCACTCTTTTACCTATTTAAATTATTAAATTACAGGTTACAATGATGCAATCAAAATTTTATTTAGGGTAAAGTCCTTTCTCAATCTACTTTTATATTTCAGATTTTTGTGCTGCATAGTTCTTAGTGAATTGTTACTAGATTTCTGTCTAGTAAGTTTCTATATATGTTGGATTCATTGTTTTTTTTACTTTTCATTTTCTTTTTGGAATTAATGTCATTTAGTTAAATAATAATTTAGTTTCTGTAAAGGGTATGGTTTGATTAGTTCACTAAGTTATAAATTGTGACGTTTTTCATTGGGTTTTTGGAAGCTTCATTTGATTGTTGTTCTTTTGTGCCTCTGCTTCTTGATGTATAGTTAAGTAACTTATATTTGTGAATTTCATGTTTTTTCACTTTATGAAAATTGTTGCACCCACACTGGCCAAGGCCCAATGGCCTAAAAAGTAAAGGACTGAAGCCCATTTGTCGAAGCTCGTGTGCCATGCCAAGGCGCCATTGCCCAAGCCCAACGTATCTCCAAAGCCCACCATTACCGAAGCACCTCAATGT